ACTTTAAGGACAGCGTCGCACTTCCCACCAGGTGGCTGGGTCGAAGGCATGCCGCGCTTGCCTCGCAGACACTCAGCACACTGCCAGTAGGTGCCCACCCAGCTCTACTGATGGGCACACTTTTTGCCCCCCTGCTGACGCACCGCAGTGGGAGGAGGAACACGCTGGACATTGGGGCCCAGCACTAAGCGGGGCCAGAGAGGAAGCAACTTGGCCCCTAGTCGGCCGACGGCTCTGGCTATAGCGACATCGTGATCAAGGCCCTCGAGCTCGGCGGACGACGGCATAGGATGCAAGAGCACCGCCTCCTTGGCCGTCTCATCAGCCCAATCGTTGCCTTGCCGCAAATACCGATCCCGATCATCGGTGGCATCACGGACGTCTAAATGGGCCTTGACCTTTTTCCAGCTTCACCTGAGACCAGTGATCCTTCAAATGCTGAGCCATTCCACTATACATACGCTTACCAGAGCACATATCCCGCCACGGCAGCTGCGCAAAATCCACGCAGCCCTGGCAGTCTGAAAACATGGTGGATGGGCCAGTCGCCCACTGAACGGCGACAGACATGGCATGGCATTATGCAACCTGCGGCGTCTGAGGACACGGCGCCCACACTGGACCTCTGACTCGCACAATGGCATTCCCCGTTTCTTTGGACACGACCACGATCGACCAACCAGCACGGTTCAGTTCACCAGCTTTGAAGCGGGTGCACGAGCCGTCCGCGCACATGTCCCCCTCGAAACACTTGACAATGCCCCCCTCCTCCTCCACCCAGTCCACCATGGCGCCCCCCGACACGAGGGGCCGCGGGAAGTTGGAGGGGTGGGGGAAGACACCGTAGCAGGCCAAGTTGTCGTCCGCCTTAGCTGCCCATTATTGGATGTCCTGGCTCACTAACTGATCACGCAAGTCGACCACCTCGGGGCAGAGGCACTCCCAGAGGCGATGTCTAAGCGTGTCTAGGCCGTCACCACAGAGAGGGCACACCGTGGGCAGCACGTGACCTAGGCTGGTCGCCCGCTGGCGAGTGTAAATCGCCTGGCAAAAAAAAAAAAAGGCCCTCAAACGCCCTTTCTGGAAGGGGGTGCATTTGGAACTGTGGAGGTAGCTCAGGACAGGGTCAACGCGCGCTCTCCCCTGCATATTAAGCCTAGCCCCCAGATCCCACTCGAGGCCCCTCAGAACAGCCTTCCGTAACAGCGTGCGGATCATTTGGGGGGAGAACTCCGTAAGCTTGAGCTCATCCCCTAAATCGGTAACCAGGACCCCAAAGGCAGGCATAGTCCAGGAAATGCGTTCCAAAGACTTTCGAAGGGCCGTAACAGGCCCAGAGACACTTCGCCACAGCGGGGATTTCCCCTCAAAGCCAGCCTGCCAAGCAGCTCGGAGCTCAGGCAGAGATAAGGTGTGCCGATACAACCGATGATGGGCCCACCAAGTCTCTTTGGGCCTGCGGAAAATAGGAGCAACACTAGCGTACCAACAAGGCTCGCCGTGCGCAAGCAAGAGCGCGGTCAACGACCGACCCTTAGCCGATGGCTGCAAAACAACTCCAACCTGGCGCCGATAAGTCAACAGCTCGAAATCGGAAACCCAGTGGACCTCGGACCCGAAAACCTCCGACGCCAAGGCCCCAGAAGCAAAAACGTTTCGGGAAACGCGGCCCCCAACCGTAGGCCGCAAACGGGCCAGCCGAACAACGAACCCCACGCGTTTTCCGCTCCCGCTTTTTATGCTTGGCACTCCGTCTCTTGGCTCTAGGAGGACGGCCAGCACAATCATCAACTCCGAGGTTCGGCGCCGAAGCGACGAGGGGTCCAGCCAGCCCTCCAAGCTCGGCGGCCAGCTCACGTCCCAGCGCCTTAGAAGAACAGATCAGCGAACGCTTCCCTTCATCATTACTGACCTTAGCCCCCACCCCGTCCTCCAAGACCGAGAACAGCTGACGAGCCACATGAGGCAGACTGGCCACGATGTATCCCTTAGTACCAGTAGCACTCACTCCAGAATCGTCAATGTACAACTTAAAGTGCACTTGGGGGGGGGGTCTCAAGCTTATCCAAGTCCTGAATAACATATATCCGAATAAAGGTAGTGGCGAACGTACACCCCGCTATAATACCCCCCTCGGCCCAATAGGGCCCGCCCACGAACCCGTTAAGGGCGAAACAACGAGCCTGGAGGTACATGGCGATCGCCAACCGAGCGATGGCCAGCGGGAAATGCATCTGCCTGGCGCGCCACAACAACATTTTCAGGTTAATGGTTTCGTAGTACTTGTAGAGGTCAAGCAACACCGTGGCCGCTTCCTCTTTAAACGAGGTAGACGTCTCCGCACGGACCGCCTGCCTCCAAACAGCATCCTGAGCCCCCTCGAAGGGGCCCGCAGCAAAATACTCACGAGAGCGGGTGGATTCCCACTGCTGGGCCAAAGGGCGCCTCACCTTCCCACACGCACGGTACAGGGCACAGAAGTTCCCAATGGGACGAAAAC